AAAAAACAGAGAAAATTAGTGTGCGCTTTTTTCCCGTAGTTATACCGGAATTGATCTAATTTCGGTTTCTCCATAGAGAAATTTCTCCATATTGGCAGGCAGGCCGAGCTCCGTCAGCCCCAGCGCCCTCGGCGCCCCGCTGTCCCCCCAGTGCTCCCGCACTCGCAGCTCCGCAGGGAAGAGCCCCCAGGGGCCCCCGCTGGGGCAAAACCCCCCCGGGGACTTGGGGCAGGAGGGCTGGGGTTGAAACAACCCCCATTTCTGAAGCCGCGATTTCATYGACCCTTCTTTCGCGTGCCGAATGTGAGGCAAAGGGCCTCAAAAGCAAATGATAAACCCGCTCGCTGGCCCCGCGCGCCGGGTCCGGCAAGGGCTGCAGYGGCACGGCAGAGGTTTGCCCACCTCGAGCTGGCCTTTCTGGGTGTGCCAAAGCCCACCGACTTGGTGCGAAGCACAAGCACATGACAAGAAGGATTCAGCAGCTTAAAAACTTGTTAGTGGGGGCACAGCAACATTGCGTGTTGGTACTCAGGTTACTCCAGCCACAAACTCCAGCGWGTTTTGAGCTACTCATTTACTCTATGAGAGGAGCAGGTTAGGAGCATCCATGTAGGATAGCCACAGACAAGCAGTAGAAGCTCTTGAAATCCTCTGGATTATTTTAATTTCTGTGCYGGCCCTCTGAAAGAGTCTTAAAATATGTTGCAGCCCCTGGCAGTAGTTGGGTTTGCTCCTGAGTTCTGCGCTTGGGATTAGCCATAGGGCAAATGTAGTTCCTACACAGCTGCTGGGATGTGCTTTATGGCCRGGGGCATGTGCGATCACAGCAAAGATTTTCCCAGGCATTCCACCTGGAAATGGGCACTTCTCATCTGAACAGAAGTCCAAGTCGGAACTACACAGGCCCCTTGCACGTGCTTAGCTACGGAGACTAGCACACCTTTATCTTAGAAGACATCTGGAATCATTCTTTTGGCTGTACAACTAATAGACAGAATGGCTCATCAATTACCACTGTGTCATACAAAACCTCCCAAACTTTCCAACAGTTATATTGGCTTTTTTTTTTTTTTTTTTTTTTTTTTTTTTTTGAGCCCTTATGGATATAGTCCAAGAAAGCAATGCTCCCCGGTCCCTGTCTTGCAGCGCCCATGCAACTTTCTGCTATCACAGGAACCAGCGTCACTCAGCACAAGGTGTCAGGGACAGCACGTGCTGTGACAGCACACGTGCTCGCTCACACTTGCGGCCGATAAACTTGCAGAGCCTCTGGCCGCTCTCCTGCGTGTTATCAATGTTTGCATGGAAGAAACTGCTTTCCAGTTTTCTATTTATAACAGGTGCCAGAAAGTCCCTGTTTGCCTGAGTGTTTTGGGGGTTCTTTTTCTTTTTGCTTTGATTTTTTGCAAGCCTTTTCTTTGTATATCAACATATTTCTGACTATTCTATATGCTGCTTGCATATTTTCAGCAAGTGGCTTTCAAATTTACCCGTGACTTTTTCTGAGGCTGCTTATAAGTTAAATTCCATGAATCTCAGTTAAACAGAGAAAGTAATTTGATTAAAGGATTTGTGTATTAAAAATGATAAGGACTAGCAGATGAATCCACATCCTGAACCATAGAACAGACAGAGAAATAGTGAGATTAAAGATTAAGGGTATTAAGAACTTGTCAGCCACCTGTCTCAAAGATTAAAACTTGCCATAACCTCCCCGTTCTTATTATTCATGCAAGGTCRTGCAGCAAACCCATGTTTGAGGCACTAGAGAAAACCGAATTCTTTACAATTTACACAATTTATAATTTAATTCTGAAAAAAAGAAAGAAATGATACATCCTATTATATAGAAATTATTGATCAAAAGTAGACTGATCTCAGAATGCTTCRCACAAGAGAAGCACAGCAAATTTTTAGCTCTTGGAGATTCTTTATAGTCTTTATAGTCAGCAACTACTGTGCATGTTTATGAAATGACAGAAAATGAGTCAATAMAAAGTTTTTGGCCATCACTTCCAGTTCAGTGCAATGATTTAGAAAACCTGCCACCTAGAGTGTGGATTCTAAAATGATGGATCATCCTGATGGAGTGGTTTGCCACGCKCATTTTGAGCAGTGGAACTAATGAAGTGTAGATATATACCACAACTTCCCTGCCCTCTCTGTTCCACCAACTGCATCTTCCATGTCTCTGAGGTCACCTAGGGCCACCACTACACAGGAGAAAGGATGCAGCTGTGGTCAGGCCAGATCTCTACAGGATCTATGTACACAAGCTTCCTGCTGACCTTTCCAGTAGCATAAATGTGGGTCTTTCTCCTCTAGCCCATAACCACTTTTGCTGGAACAAATAGATATATAATGACCTTTGAGGTATCTATGCCACTYTCAATATGGATTAAAACTGGACAGTGAGTTCAAAAGGTGTGTGGTGGGAAGGAGAAGCAGTTGAAAAGACACAAGAAAGGGCCACCTCTGCTTCCCTAAGGACCTAGGCAAAACCTACAAGGTGGCTATGGTATATGTTGCACTGCTTATCCAGCTTTCCTGAATTTCTCCTCACCTCTAGGTATGGAGGAAAATAACAGCTCTTCAGTATTTTTTGTTTCGATTCTGGAAGAGTCAGCCAGAGGATCAGTACTTCAGCCTGCATGTGCTAGGATGAGCGTGCATTCTCAAGGGAGAACCTATTTTCTCAGCTGCTTTCAAACCAGCCTGAGGCTATGATGACATCTGCAGCAGTGAGCGAGCAGAGGTCGGCCCCTCTTCTGCAGGAAACTCCTTTCAAGTCAGTGCTGCTTCTTGCATGCTTAACAAATGCATTGCTAATAAAGACTTCATGGCTAGCATTTATATCAGCTTCAAAAGCCCCAGTCATGACTTCCATCTAGTGTAGCAGGGTTTGAACATTGTAGGATTTGCACAGCTTTCCCCAGGTACCCACTGAAGACAGGAATAATAAAATTCTATCTATCTGCAACAAAAAAAAAAAAAAAAAATCCAGCAAATGATTTTTTATTCTCCAAGAATGAAATGCTGTGTGGACTGTGCCATGTATCTTTACTGGAATCGCTAGAAAGAGACGTGCGCTGGAACCAGAGAACTTTATACTGATAAATATGCATGAGCTCATGTGAAAAATAAGCCTGATATTAATAAACCCCACATCTGAGATGGAGAAGATCTGCTGCTGAGTCATGCGGAGGACACTTTGCCAGATGCTTAAACTAAGAAATTGCTCTACATAAAGCTGAATGCCTGCCATAAAACCAACACTTTCAAATTCCACTCGGAATGGCTGCGGCAATACCATCATCACTCTAATCCCATTACCTCAAAGGCATGTTAGCTCTGGCGGGGCAGTCTCCTAGGCTCTTTCAAGTGAATGGCACAGAAAATCTGCAAATGTAAAAATAAAAGGTATCGGGGAGTTCCACTGCCAAATAAAACGCAAGTAGTTTAAAATATGTATGTTTTGGGGGAATTTCTTAACTTGAACATTTGCTTAACTTCTCTCGCTTCTGATCTTATAAGACTCTTTTATTGATTTCTGTCCTTTTAGGCATTTTTGAGGCTATTTCAAAGATTTTTCATCAAACTGCTTATAATTCCAAAAGAAATAATGTGGGAATCCATAGTGAAGCAGGATACAGGGAATGCCAGTACTACAAATGCTTTAAATTAGTCCCTTAAGGACTCTGAGTTGCAGGCAACATATAAGATAAATTTTCAGTACAACATATGAAGATTTAGTGATAATCTATGACAGAAGAATTAGAATCATAGAGTCCTTAAGATTGGAAAGGACTCTTGGAGATCATCTAGTCCAACCCCTCTGCACATGCAGGGTCACTCTTCGGAATAATTGTAAAAAAGCTGAAGGTCTGTGATTGTTTTCAGACACATACCTAACCAAATGCAACACAAAGCYATTTTAAGCATACAAAGATCCATACTATGCTGATTCAGACAGTGCCCTCACTCTCGATGAGTAGAAATGTGTTATTTGTTTGTGGCTTTGTGTGTGAGCAAATACAATAAATGTTGGCTTTGTCGGGACTCACTGTATCCATGTGCTCCATCAGCAATTCAATTAAATATTTTTCAACAGACAGAAGTTGCCAAATAAAGAAGACAATTTTTAACTATGAATGGGTTGTTTTGACAGTATATAAATACTTACGCAGCTTTACAATAATCACACCATSTTTATTGGTATATAGTGTTATAAATTTAACATCTCAAAATCTGTCGTATTTGTATTTTAATGTTAGAAATCTACTAAGTTCAGGAGTTTAAATTGCAAAATGTAAATTTGAGGCTGTACATTATTACACTGTTAAATGTTTTGCTGACCAATCTTGCTTTTCTTGCAGTACTAGCCAAACYTGTCTATGTAGCAATTGTAGGAATGATTTAGACATGAGAAAGAATGATGGGAGCTGAGAAAGGAGGATTAAAAAACTCTCTCAGCACTTTTTTTTTTTAAGTAGAAGTGCTCACACTATAAGGATAAGGAAGAATAGGACTGTTCATCTGTAATCTTCCTTTCCTGGCCAGGCAAGTGCAAAGTAGATGAGACTGATAACTTCATAAAACATTAAAACCTACTGAACCCCAGACAGATTCTAATTTATAAATGAACAATAAAATGTATATGTCAAAGTCTATGGCAAATAGGCACTATGAATCAATAAAGGGAGAAAAAATAACAAATGCAATTCCTGTGGGGTGGTGCTATGTATTTCACAAGAATCATCCCTCCAGCTACAGAGCCTTTCCCTTTCATTCATGCCCGATATTTGCATTGAGTGGCTTTCAAAAGTGGCTATACAACTTTAACCTGCATCCATTGAGGYTGCACCACTGTGCTTCTCTTTCTTCTTAATTAGCAAGAATATTTAAGTAGTTATTTACTTTCAGTTGTCTGTAAGTTAACTGAAGGTAAGATACTCATCAAATTCACTTCAGGAGAAAGTTATTGCTTTACAACAATGTTAACCATTAGAAGGAATGAATTTGCACCAGTCCTGCATTTTTTAGTGTTTATGATGGTAATTTTTCTGATCTACTGATAAATACCCTCAAGCCAGATTTACCAACCCATAGATCCAAAGCCAGGCTTCTGAACCTGCTTTTTATTAGGTAGATTTTTGCTGCAAAAGAAAGAGCAGTGAAAAAGATAGTGACCTCATTTGCATAAATGCCAGTGATGCACATGCACAGAAAGTAAGTGTTTACCCTTTATTTACTGCTTGGTAAAATGCTTTAGTATAGTG